TTTAAATCTTCTCCTTTCTCTGTTCTCCCTTTTTAGTTCAGTCCCTGGGGCTGTTTCCACTTTTCCACTTTCTCTCCAGCTGCTTTGAGGGCAAGGAGTGTGTTTCCTGTACTCTCCTCCCACCACCATCCTCTCTTTGCAAGCAAAATGAGCTCCCTGCCCTCCACAGCTTCTCTCTCCACACTGTGTACCTGCTGAGTTCTGTAGTTCAGGTTGTGCAGATTGTTAGTCCTCAGATCAGTTTTCCAGGTGTGCAGGATGGCTTAGTGTTGATCTGGATGTATTTCATGGATGTGAGATGAAAAAACAAACTTCTTTGCTATTCCACCACCTTGGCTCCTCTTTCTTCCTTTCTTTATGTAAACCTGAATTCTATATAATTTTCATTATATTTGGAGAACTTTGAATATTTCTTTCAAGGACAATCTACAGATGATAAATTCTCTGGTACTAATTTTAGAAAATTCTCAGCCATTATTACTTCAAACTTTGTTTTTTTCTCTCCTTTTCCTTTTCTTTTATTTTCTTTGTATTCTCATTACGTACATATATTCTACCTTTTATAATTGTCCCACAGGGCTTAGATATTCTTTCAGTTTTTAATTTAGTTCTCTTTACTTTTTATTTTAGGAACTTTTTATCACCATATCTTCAAGCTTACCGATTCTTTCTTTGCCCTTGTGCAGTCTTCCAGCGAGCCTTGAATGCCCTCTTCATTTCTTTTACATAGTTTTTTTATTTCTTGAATTTCCTTTTAATTCTTAGTGCTGCCATTTCTCTGCTGCCATCTGTTTTTGCATATTGACTACTTGTCCTTTGGATTCCTAAATATATTGATCCTAAAAATAATGATCAATATATTGATAATTAAATATAGTGACCAATTATTTCCTGATAATTCCAAAATCGGTGTAATATCTGAATCAGGTTCTGATGCTTGCTTTGTCCCTTTAGACTTTGGTGTCGGGATTTTTGTCTTTTTGGGTTTTTTGTTTGTTTGTTTGTTTTAGTGGCTCTGAGTCTGTGAAGTGTGATCTTTTAAAATACTTCTTAGTCTTACATTTTTTCTCCCTTTATACTTCATTTATTTACTTTTAAATTTATTTATTTAAAGTCAAGCTAGTTAATGTCCTGTGTAGTATTGATTTGAGGACTAGAACCCAGTGATTCATCCCTTTATACTTTAAATAAGACAGGAAGATTAAAGAGGAATAAAGTTGGCTAAATAGTCTTTTCCAGGCGAGATCAATCTTTTTCACTGGAGATGAGGCCTTTCCTAGAATAATCTGAGATAATGCCAAAATGTTTTCTTTCCCTCTCCTCCTACTCAAGGTAGAAAGGATTTTTCTCCATTCTTCACCATGACAACCTACTGAGTGGAGGTCCCAGATGTAACACCCATGAAAGGTGGTGAGCTTCTTATGTCTGAGTCCCCAGGAGTTTTTAAGTCCCCAGATTTTCTGCACTTAGCATCCAGCAATTTGTCAAAATTACCATTTGAGTCTTTCTACCAGTTCCTGGCTTCAGTGGTTTCTGCTTCAGATAACCTGATCTTGGCTGTGATTCTTTGTACTTGCATGTCTGTCCAGATTTGGAGAGATTCTTTGTCCTCTGACCTCATTTCTTTGTTCGATCTAGGAAAAAGTTTATTGGTTTTATGATTGTTCAGATTTTGTCTTTTTGTGAAGGTTGTGTGATGGTTTACAAGCTCTTTACATGTTGGAGTTTACTCTAGAAAAAATATTTTCAAGAGTTCATCTTGATAAATTGATAAAGTTTTTGAGTGTATCTTCCAGGTTGCTGTGTAAGTTTGAAAAGGTGCTTTGTGATCACCTGTTCCACAGGTGAAACAGGACAGGGAAAAAGTGGGCCATGAATTGAATGGAACCTGCAGAGAACAGACCAACCTGTACCCTCTCCTTGCTGGGTGAACTGGGGACTTCCACCCCTCAGAACTGGTTGGAAGATTCACTTTATACACGGGGAAATCCAACCAACTCCCAGAGCACAGCTGGGAAGATTGATGCTCCATCCCAGGAAATTCAATTTCTTTTACATTTATAAAAATACATTTTCAGATATTTTTCTGAGTTATAGGAGTATTCCTTACAGAAAAGAGGAAGAAAGGAAAGGAAGGGAAGGGAAAAAGGAAGGGAAGAGGAAAGGGAAGGGAGAGGGTGTTAATAGGGTGTATTGTCTGAGCTGGGGCTGGAATGAACCTACCTACTTCACTTTCTGTTGCTTTGCTGCTATGCTTTTTTTCTAGTCTTGGGTCCCCAAATCTGTTCACTCTCTGCTCTCCAACTTGTAGAGTTTTCTAATGTTTACCTCTTGCATTGTTTCCAGAGTTTATAGTTGTACCTAGAAGAAGCAAGGAATAAATGATTCTATGCCATTTTGTTTAGACTGGAAGGTCAGTTTGGCTCATTTTTGTATCTTCCGTGTTTCTATATAGCCTATAGCGTATTTTCATGCTAGGCTATTTTTTTGTTGGGTGTTAGAAATTATAAATTTTATCTTTCTGTGTGCTGCATAGTGTTCTTTTAATAATTTGACTCTTTCACTTCTTGCTTTTAAGATTTGCTAGTCAGAACCAGAGCAGTGTTCAGTGTGGGGCTGAGGATTCCCCACTCCTGAGGTAAGGCCCTTCTGTGTGGTCGACCCAGTGCCCCATGAATCTTTAGATTTTCCAATATGATTCTTAGAACAGATATGATTCCTGGCCTTCTGTGAGTACTAATCACTGATCACTCTAATTTTTTCAAGTACCTTTGCCCTATCTGTTCTTCCCATATGCATGTGCCAGTCAGTAATCAAGGAGGCCCTGCTGCAGGTTTCAGAAATTCTTTTCTGTGCAGCAATCAGCTATAGTCTTCTGTGTTGTGAACTGGAGGCACAGTGGTGTCTAATGCCTTGCTCTGTTCCTGCATCTTAGGGAATCACCAGGCTTCTGGTCTCCCTTCTCTGTGCCTCAGGAAACTCTCCCAAGGCAGTAAGCTAGGGGAATAATTAAACTTACTTTGCTTATTTCTCATCTTGCAGGAATTATACTCTTTTCCTGATGTTTGGTGTCTTGAAAACTATTGCTTCGTATATTTTCAATTATTCTTTGTGGTTTGTTTTTCTGTCCATAGTTGTTAGGAAAGGTAGAGCGGCTCTGTTACTCTATTTTAGCCAGAAACTAATAGATTTCTAAATGTTTGCTTTTAAAATTTATATTCTACTTTTTTTTTAACTAGCATGTGAACATATAGTGGATTTGTAATATCTATATTTTATTCAGCAATGTTGCTAAATTTACATTTCACTTCTAATGGTTGGTTTAGACTCCTAGATTTTCTGTGTGTATTAGTGTATCACCTGAGAGCAAAAAAGATTGATTGTTTTCAGACTTGAGGCACCATAGTACTCTTTCTAGAATTACTTCACGGGATTAAGTGAATAAATAACCGATAGAAGGTAGAAAAGAAGTGATAGGAATGAATATACTTACCATGTTTCAAACACGTTTTGCTTTCTTCTTGCCAGCTGGTATTATTTTTGTTTTTAGCTGGTATTGTTTTGTTTTTTTACTTTTATCAGTATTTCTTGGAATGTGAATCTGCTGGTGACAAATTAGCTCTAATAATCATTTTTCCTCCCTTGAAGGATATTTTTTACATGTATAGTATTTTATATGGGCAGTTACTTTTTCTTCCTTCAGTATTTTACAGATATCATTTTATTGTCTTCTCATGTCTGTTGGTTGGTATGTAATATCATCCATCTTTCTTACTGTTGTTTTCTTTAATAATATGATGTCCCTTCTCCATTACTTTCTTTTACCTTTTGTAGGAAAGAAGGCATGCAAAATGAGACTGACATTTTAAAATGTTGACTTTTTTTTTGTTATGCACGTGCTGGATTGGTCATATTTACCTTATTTTTAGCCTTCTTATACCCTAACACCCATGTGGTTCTTATTCCTCAACATAGAATATGTTTTAGAAAAATGACCTTTTTTCCTGTCATTCTGAGGCTTAGATATATAATGAAGCAGAGTTACAATAAGAAATTATTTGGGATAATACAGCAAGTGTTACAATAATAGTAACAACTTCTGTTGCAAAATGTGTTCCAAATAAATTACTCTATAATAGAATTTCCAAGAATGGAAATTCTATTTCCATTCTTAGGATCTTAGGAAAGATAAATCAGAAAGATAGAGAAAGCTCTGCAGAGGAAAGGAAAAATACCACCTTTACTCAATTCTATACTCATTTTGCCTAATACTGGATTTGGTATTTGTAAGGCATGAAATAAATATTTGTTTAATGAATAACTTTTCCATGATTATACAATGATATGGATTGAAATTTTTAGGTATAATGTTAGGTAAATACTTTATAAGTATTTTTGGGCTCCACGAATTAATTTAACATAGGTAAACACTCCATAAGTATTTCTTACTGGATGAATTAATTATGGAACTTGAACAAGAACTCAGTTCTTCTCTTCTTGTGTAATGCTCAGTTTCTCACCTTGAGTTTTAGTTTGGTTAATGATCTATGCCATGGGGTTAGCCCTGAGGTTGGCTCAATATTACTTTGTTATTGTTTTTTTTTTTTTTTAACTCCTCACTAATCCTTGGGAAAAGTCTAATGGGAGAAACAGACTTCATGGCTTATCTTACAGGCTGCAAAGACACTCAGTAAAATTTATTGTGCCTGGTGATTATGGTGTCACAGGGTGAAAGAACTTCGGCCAGAATTTGAAATTGTTTTCTATTCTGTGAGGCTATTTGATGGGACATATTGTGGACTGTGTTTCAGATACAGTGGGCAGTTGTTAAACCAGTTGCTATTGTCATTGTTAATATTGGAACTGAATGTTAGGTCGATGTTGCTGAAATGGTGATATTACTTGAGAGAATTTGCATCTCCCTTTGTCCTACTACTTAGCATTCAGTATATATGGAGTGGCATTAAATTGTTGCCATACAGCATGGTGACAAGAATATCATGGGGTGCAAAACTCTATGCTTTGGACTGACTTGCATTCTCTTTGCTTATTATATTTATACACCGTTACCAGAAAACATTGAAGAACCTTGGAAAATACAGGTCATCGATGCTCTTATAAAAACTACTTCACTTACGGTAATGTCCCTCCCACCCCCAGGGGACTGGGATGCCTTGTTATGAGTACATGTAAACTGTCTTTCAATCAGTATTTTGAGACTTTGGCTTTCTTTTAGAACAAATTAGCCAAATATTGATTTGTTTAATTAGTTATTAACAAAGCAGTTTAATCAGTAGTACAAAGCAGAAGGAGATAAAATTCTGGCTGACAAGAGTCGATATCTAAAGATAAATCCACCATATGTTGTGATAAGAATAAAAGAAATGGTATCGTCTAAGTGGAAAATATGGGAGGGCTGTTAAATAACTTGATTATATATGGCATTTCTGAGGGAAACTGAACCTGGTCTCATCCATTCGCTTAAAACTTATGTGTATATATTGATTATGTTTATATTTGTATGTATATTTAGTACCTTTACTGTTGTAATGTCTTTCTCTTTCTTAGTGGTTATCAAACTTTTTTGTCGCAGGAACTCTGTGAGTTATTGAGGACCCTAAAGAGCTTTTTAATATTTATAATATTAATCAATATTTACTGAATTAGAAACTGACCTTATTAAACATTTTCTTAATAATGATAATGGTGAGAATAAGCTCATTAAAGGTTAACATAGATAATAATTTTATTAAAATTCAATATATTTTTAAGACAAGAAAAATTAGGTATGATAGTGACATTGTTTTCCATTTTTGCAAATCTTTTTAATGTCTCTCTCTATGGATTATAGCTGGATGATCGTATCTGCTTTTGTATTTAGTCTATTGCAACATCACATGTCGTGTAGCTTCTGGGAATCTCCACTGCTTACTCATGAGGGAATTAGACTGGAAAGAAAAGGCAGGAAACATCAGTATTATGTGCACATCCTGAACATGTTTTAGACAACCACAGGGATTCTAAGACCACACCTTGAAAACCACTTCTTTTGTCTACCCTTTATCCTCAACTGCTGGAGTTTGGATTTTTTGTGACAGTGACAGAATTTGAACTCAGATCTACCTCATTAAAAATATTTTGCTCCCCTGTTGATCATGCTGCTGTCCTGAGGCCTATGGATGATAGTGACAATAGGAAGTTTTAGAGAGAATGTTTCAACAGACAATAAATGATCAGAGGAGAGCAGTGCATAGTATATGGGGGGAGGCCGCCCAGTGTGCTTCACAGAAGAGATGAGAGATCTGTCAAACTAGATAGCAGTGATATTTCCTGCTCAAAATCCAAAGTATACTGAATTGCCCATGGCCCCATTTTTTTCCCTCTTTATTACTAATGCTTCACCTTTTCATTCACTGGATAATAGATGACAAGTGCCAGCCCTATAGAGAAACTATTATGTTATATTCCCGAATAGTTCAAATATACTTAAACTTTAGAATAAACCAGAGCTTATTTCCTCATCAATGTTAGCACATTCTGAAAGTATGCAGCTATAGAATTCAACTTTTACTTTATCAAATGCAAAATATAATTAATGTCTAATGTCTTCATCTAAAGTAGAACTGACTACAAGTAGCATACATACAGACATATAGTTTATACAAGTAATTGATCAGCTTCTACTTGTTAAAAGGATAACCATTTTGTCACTGTCATTTCTGAATTATAGTAACCCAAGTGATTCCTAGAGAGAAGCTTAATTTTTTTAAAAATGCTTACCAGGAAGCAAACATCACGGTTCTTAATAAAATGGTGTGGAGTAAGTATAAAACTATGCAATTACACATTCAAATTAGAGACAGCCAAAAGTAGAAGAAAGCATGAGCGTTAAAGATGGTTAGATTTTAGAGAGTCTGCTATTGCTTTTTTTGACTCCGTTTCCTCCATTGCAAAATAAGAAATGTAATCAACTTGTTTCAGCTTGGCTATGACAATAAAGGGATGTGTGTTTTAAGCATTACTTAGTAATGTCTAAATGGTAGATGGTGATTGTTCATAAGAGAGGCAGGATCTATTCATTCGAGTTATGAGAGATGAGGAGTCAAAACTCTATGAAATTTAAAGTAACATATTTACTAAGTTAAAAAGCTTCTCACTATAATTATTTTCAACTAGTGGTGAAAATGTTTAAGAATGTTTTCAATATAAATAAATAATGAAAAAAGCTAAGATGTATTGACCATTTTATAGTGTACCCTGAGCAACTTTAATCTGCTTAAAAGTATTACTTAACATTTACAACTGTACTTTGAAGAAGTCGTTATTATTATCCTCATTTTAAAGATGACGAAAATGAGGTACAGGGAATAAGTAAGCCAAAGAATTAGAGTTGATAATTTGAGGAATTGGGAATCGAATCCAGACAGTCTTGATTCAGACTCTAAATATTTTTATCATTGTGCCAAGTTTTACATATAATTTTAACTTTGTATATAGTAAAATTTGTTCCTTTGGTTATACAGTTTTATGAGGTTTAACATATGTTGAGATTCAAGTAACCACCACAACAATCAAGATAAAGAAATATAATCCTTCAAAATCACCTTTGTGCTGCTGGTTTCAGTAAAGCTTCCCCATCTTAAAACACCTGGCCATCAAGGCTCCTTGGATGTTCTTATATGTTGCCATTTCCATAGTATCATATAAATGGATTCATACTGCAGGTGGTCTTTTGAGTCTGGCTTAACATATGTCACCAGTTAAATGTATTTGAGAGTAATCCAAATGTTGAGAGTATCAAAAGTTAAATCCTTTTTAAAGCTGTGTAGTATTCCACAGGAAACTAACAATAGAACTCCCCTATGACCCAGCAATAGCACTGCTAGGAATTTACCCCAGGGATACAGAAATGCTGAGGCATAGGAACACATGGACCCCAATGTTCATAGCAGCACTCTCCACAATAGCTAAAACATGGAAAGAGCCTAAGTGTCCATCAACAGATGAATGGATCAAGAAGATGTGGTTTATCTATACCATGGAATACTACATGGCAATGAGAAACAATGAAATCTGGCCATGTGTAGCAACATGGATGGACCTTGAGGGTGTTATGCTGAGCGAAATAAGTCAGGCAGAGAAGGAGAAATATCATATGTTTGCACGTATAGGAGGATGAGGAGGAACTTGACGGAGGAACAAGGGGGAGAAGAAGGGCGGAAATGGTGGGGGAAAGGGAGAGAGGCAAACCATGAGAGACTCTTGAATGCTGACAAAAACTGAGGACTGATGGATGTGGGGGGGGAGGAGGGATGGGCATGGAGGAGGCCACTTGTGGGGATGAGCATTGAGTGTTATGTGGAAACCAACTTGACAATAAACTATTTGTAAAAAAAATAAAAATTAAAAAAAAAATAAAGCTGTGTAGTATTCCATTATACGGATGTGTCATAGTTTGTCCACAATGAATAGCTGAAGGATATTTGGGTTGTTTCCACTTTAGAGTGGATGTGAATAAAGCTAGTGATAATTCATATACAGGCTTTTGTGTGAACAAAAATTCCAGTTCCTATTGGTTAAATAGGTAGAACTGGATGTGGTGGGTGATATTATACAGTGTGTACTTTAACTTTACATAAAACTACTGAATTGTTTTCCAAAAAGCCTGTCTCATCTTCCATTCACATCAGCAGTCTATAATAGTTCTAGCAGTTCTACATGTTGAGCATTCCTTAATATTTTCTATTTTGCTTTAAAAACCTTTCTAATGTAAAAAATATCTCACTGATATCCATTGGCATTCCCTTAGTTACTAAAGATGTTTATCGTTTCATGTACTTATTTGCTGTTTCATATTTTGGAGAGTGATGTGTATGTATGTTCAAACTTTTTCTTTATTTCAAGAAAATTGGTTCTTTGTTTTTGCTGAATGTTGAGAGTTGTTCTATTCTGGACACAAGTCATTTGGCAGGTATTTGATTTGCAAACATTTTCTCTTAGACTGTTGCTTCCCTTTTTATGATCTTAAGTTACACAACAGAAGCCATGGATTTTGTTGAAGTCCAATTTATCTTTTTTTTTTAATTTAGTATTATCTTTTAGTATTTTTCCTAAGAACTTTTACCTAACCTAACCTAAGATCACAAAAATTTTCTTCAATGTTGTCTTCTAAAAGGGTTGTTGTTTCAGATTTTACTTTTAAGTATTGGGTTCATTGTTAGTTAATTTCAGTATTAGGTGTGAGGAATAGGTCAAGGTACATTCTTTTTGCATATGGATATGTCCAATTGTTCCAATTTGTTGAAACATCTTCCTTTCTTCCTTGAATTGTCCCATACAGTATGTCAAAAATAAATTGGACAAATTGGATTTGGTTTATTTCTGGACTGATACTCTTCTCCTCCCTGCATCTGTGAGTGCAGCATTTCCCAACACTACACTGTATTGACTATCATAGCTTTTTAGTAATCTTGAAACCAGGTTGTATGAGTCTTCCAACTTTGTTCTTCATTTTCAAAATCTCTCTGGCTATTATAATTAATCTTCCTTTCCATAAAAATTTAAATTTATCTTTTGGGGACCAGAAATTCTGATGAGATTTCGACTGGGATTAGGTTGACTCTAAAAACCAATTTAGAAGGGATTGACATTTTATCAATATTAAGTCTTCTGGTCCGTTAACTTAATTCTCAATTTAATTAGGACTTTCATTTCTTCCATCATTTTTCTGTGGTTTTCAGTGTATGAATACTGGATGTATTTTGTTTTATTTATAACTAAGTATTTTAATTTTTGGTACTGTTGCAGTTGGTATTTTTAAATTTTGGTTTTGATTTCGTCATTGCTAAATTTGAAATAAAATTTATTGTTTATGTTAACTTTGTATCCTTTGGTTTAGCTAAACCTGCTTATTCATTTTAAGGGCTTTCTTATAGATTCCATAATATTTTGTACTAACATAATTATGTTTACTGAAAGCAGAGAGAGATTGTTATTCGCTTCTTTCTGATCTGTATAACATTTTCTTCCTCTCCTTTATCACACTGACTAGGACTTAAAGAATTAGGTTGAATGAAAAGCAGACAGTCTTACCTTTTTCTAGCTCTTAGGAAGAAGCATTTAGTCTTTCACTATTAAA